ATTTATGGATAGAAGAACTGGGGTGTAGACCAGAGGCGGGAGGGACAGTGAGAGAATTCACCAGAAACAGAGGGCCACCAGGGATGCCTCTGACAGTTGTTTCTATGCTTAACACCATTTAAACATTCCTCTTCTTACTGCTTCTGAAGGCATTTCTTTTTTAAATATTTATTTTATTTATGCATATAAGAACTGGGGTGTAGGCCAGAGGTGCAGTGAGTGAGGGTGAGAGGATCCACCAGAGACGGAGTGGGGAGCAGAACAGGCAGAGCTACTGAAATACACTGCTGAGGGGAGCAGCAGGCAAGACAGGAGAGGTCTGCTACGCCATGTGTGTTGCTTCCTGGCCAGGGATTGAACTCGTGCTACAGTGGCTGGTGATATCTTGATAGCCCTGATTTTAACCCCTGCACCACTAGGGAGGCCCTGAAGGCATTTCTTGCCTCTTGAACATTAGCCATTAATCTACCAAATTCAGATTTTTTTCTCATTTTTAACAATAGATTTTTCACATATCAGAAAATTTACTCATTTATAGTATATATTTTAATAGTTCTTAATATGTTCAAAGAGTTTTGCAACCATTACCACAATCACTTTTCAAACACTTTTATCACCCCCTCTCCCCAAAGAAAATCCTTAACTATTGGCAGTCATTCCTCATCTCCTTTCAAACTCTACAGTCCCCGGCAAGCACTAATCCACTTTCTGTCTCTAGGGATTTGTCTATCCTGGACTTTTCATATCAATGGAATCTTAGAACATGTGGGTTTTTTTTTTTAAAGATTTATTTAATTATTTATGCATCAAAGAACTGGGTGCAGAGGGTAAGAGGAATCACCAGAGACAGAGTAGGGAGCAGAACAGGAGGATTTACTGAAATACACTGCTAAAGGGAGCAGCGGGCGAGACAGGAGAGGTCTACTGTGCCATATGTGGTGATTAGCTCCCTTGATGGGATCGATCTCAGGCTGAAGGCCACAGTAGTGATAGCATGATAGCACTGACACTTAACCCCTGGGCCACCAAAGAGGCCCACATGTTGTCTTTCTTGACTAACTTCTATATTTTCACTCGAAGTCCCCTGCTAGCTGAAGTCATGTTCAGAGTAGTTTCAGCAAATTCAGGAAGTTGTTTGAAACTGGCAAGGTGGGCATTGAAATTGACTCCCCTAGGGCCTCCCTGGTGGCGCAGTGGTTGAGCACTGAGTTGCGAAGCTGCCTGCAGCCTCTGCAGCGCTGGTTCGATCCCCGGCTGCTCCCCGGCCACCGGAGGAGGGTCCCACATGGCGCGCAGACCTCTCCTGCCCCCCGCTGCTCCCCTCAGCAGTGTACTTCGGTCCTTCTGCCTGCTCTGCTCCCCGCTCTGGCTCTGGTGAATTCTCTCACCCTCCCGCACTTCTGACTGTACCCAGTGCTTGTATAAATAAATAAATAAATCTTTGAAAAAAAAAAAGAAAGAAAAGAAATTGACTCCCCTAAAAGAACTATGCATCTGCTTTTCCACAAATCTTAAAAATAATGAGGACTTTTATTTACCATTCTGTTAGCACAAGAACATCACTTATTACTTAGAACAAAATGCTCATCCAGCTCTGCTGGATTCATTACATATCATCTCTCATTGAATCCTCATAACAATAGATCATTATTCTAATTGACACCTGAGAAATCTGTAGCTTTGTAAGGTCATTTACCCAAGATACCACGCCTACAAAGTGGGAGAGGTCAAAGTTCAGCCAGAATCCCTGTGCCCCATGCACTGTAATCCTGTTCATTCTAAGCCAGGAGATGTCCAGGATCGCCTCTGTATCAGTCACAGTTCTGAGTATCCAAAGTCAGTCCCCACTCTTGCTGGAGTAGGCAGAAAAGGGATTTATTAAAGGACACTGCAACTTTGGGGAGCACTGGAGAATTCCAGGAGTGGTGTCTTAAACCACACTGAAGAGCTGGCCTCGTAAGAATACCACTGAAGCCACTGGGGCCATGAACTTGCACTCCATGCCAGGAACTTGACTGCTCTGTCTGTGGTGTAGATGCCACTCCTGTGCCAGAAGCTGTACCTGGCAATCGCTGCCTTCCTGCACTAGCTAAATGGAACCCCCAGAGAACAAATGCATCTACTTCTTCCTACATTGCATTTGGTAATGAGTCTCGGAGGGAAAGGTCTTGTTGGCAGAACCTAGGTCACGTGCCCATTTCTGAGCATACTGAAGAAAATTCAGAATCTTGTCTTGAGCTGAGACCAGCATCAAAGGTCTGACTTTCTGTGGTAGGAATCTCATCTTCCCCATCGAGTGATGCATGCCTCCATCGATATGCGCCATTAAGAACATGGCAGGCAGCCAAAAGCACAACACTCATCATTTAAGCAAGGCTCACTGAGAATGCTGGGGCTGCTGACTGAAATAGAAGTCTCAGTGATAGACAGAGTTCATTACATAATCAAGGTGAAGATTCAAATCAGAAGCCGCTGGGCATACTTGACTCTGTGAGAGCTGCTTAGACCGTAACAGATTTAAGTTCAGTTTAAATACCTTGTACACAGTAGCCTACAGGTAAAAGAGATCTTTTGATTTCCTAAGTTATCTTTTTTCCCCTAAGATTTATTTATTTATGCATACAAGGGCTGGGGTGTAGGGCAGAGGTGCAGGGGGTGAAGGTGAGAGGATCCACCAGAGACAGAGTGGGGAGCAGAACAGGCAGATCTCCTGAAATCCTCTGCTGAGGGGAGCAATGGGAAAGACAGGAGAGGTCTGCTGCCGCCATGTGGGTCAGCTCCCTGGCCGGGGAGCAAACTTGTGCTGCGGTATCTGTGGATTGCTTCATAGTGCTGACGCTTAGCCCCTTGCACCACCAGGAAGACCCCTAAGTTATCCTAACCTAAAGAAATGTTGATGTTATCCATGTGCAGAGGAGGGCAAAGGCTGGCGTTTTATCATTTTCTAACTCTTAAAAAAATGCACTGTGGAGACCCCAAGGCTAGGTCTCCACTGTTCAAATCCTCTCTAGCTGGCTCCTTGGTCATCAGTGGAGGCTGGAAGGGTTTACCACAGACGCCAGGTTCCCGCTGCTACACGGAACAGGACAGAGCCTCTTTTGGCTTTGCCGGTGGCTTTGCTCTCTTACCTGCTAGACGTGGTGGGGGCCACGAATTGTGCACAGGGCTCAACTGGGCAAATCGTGGTATAAACCGAATAGAAAATCCAGAGGACAATAGTGTGGGACGCAGGTTCATTCACAGAACGAGACTAGAGTCCAACAGCCCAGCCATAAACACCAAGGCTGAGTCGTCACTTCTCACTGGAAGGTCCTACTACCCTGAGTAGGTCCCTTCTAACAATATTGAGCCTACTGGGGTATATTCAGTTGTGTCCGTCCTGGTGAAACCTGCAGGTGGGGCCAGAGGTTGGGGGGCAATGGCATCATCTAGGGAAGAATGTATCCCTGCATTAATGGCCAGGCCTTTGAAGTTGGTCTGGGCAGAAAAGGCAATCCCAATCTCTAGACCTAGCTTTCCAGGTTTAGATTTGGGGATGGAGGCATCCTTAGGGCACTGGAGGAATGTTCTGGAGGTGGTGGGCTCCCTATCATCCCATCGGTGGGCCTGTCTGCCCTCCCTTGGGTTCCCTGAGTCTTAAGCAAAGTTGGATGTTCCAGTCTGGGATCAGCCAAGACAAGAGATATTGTGACATTTGTGGGTATGGCCATAGGCCAGAGGAGAAGAGGAAGCCCAGTATAATCTGCCTGGAGCCAGAGAGGTGGCGGCAGCCACAATGCCAAGCAAAGTGCATATCCTAGGGACCCCTGGGACTGCGGGGTCCATTTACTCCCTGTAATTACTGATTTCTGAGAATCCAGATGACATAATGGTGGATTCCCTTTCAAGACCTCAATCACCGTGTGCTGAATGAACAGAACACTGTTGAAGAAGAGAGGCAATACTTCTAGGAACAGGCAAATCACCAGCAGTGTCCCAAGAGGTACTGGGAATGACCCAAAAGGGGGCTGATGCCCAGTGATGGAGACTGAGGCAGCTGGTATCAGGAAGGTACATCAGGAAGTAACATGGCCCAGCCATAGAGACAAGGTGTCGAGGACTCCCATCAGCCCAAGAACAGGGCTACCTCTGGGGGTACCGAAAGCAAATGAATAATAATACAATCATTCTATCAAGGAATTTAAAGCTACAGTCCTGAGATACCATCAAACATGCTCCAAGGCTCACACACAGAGAACAAGAACAAAACAGTAATCTCAGCTGGGTGTCTAAAGCCACAGTGATTTGAGGCTCTATCCTTAGGGTATTGGAAGGATTTTACTCCTGGCATTGAAAAAAAAAAGGGGGGGGACAAAATGCTGAAAAGCAGGCAGAATTTGGTATGTGGCTGTGATGAGTTCAGAAATTTGAGATACCACCATATCTGAAAAACTGACAAAGTTAGAAGGTGAAAAATTAGGAGAAAAAGGTAGTGCTTCCTCCTAAGATAAGGTCAAATTCCAATTCAACAAACACTGAAAAACTGGCCAAAATCCCTTTTTCTAGCCTGGAATGTGTTTACTTAAATAAGTAAATCTGTTTTCGCATAAGGGAAATTTTGCCCTCTTAACAAGAATAATCTGTCACCACATTTATATCAACCAGAAAAATCAAAAACATTTATTTGGTGGGGCTTCCCTGGTGGCACAATGGGTTAAATCTCAGCATATGAAGCTATCCCAACTACTGCAGCAGGAGTTCCATCCCCCCATCAGGGAGGTGACCCAGGTGGCGCAGCAGACCTCTCCTGTCTCGCAATTTGCTCCCCTTAGCAGTGTATTTCAATCTGCCTGTTCTGCTCTCCACTCTGTCTCTGGTGAATCTTCTCACCTCCTGCACCTCTGGCCTACACCCCAGTTCTTGTATGCATAAATAAATCTTTAAAAAAAAATATTTATTTGGGTGGTCAACCAAAAATAAGGTTATGATTCTTACTAGTAGCTATTGAAACAACAGACGATTGATTGTTAAAATTAACTTTATTATTAATATAGACAACATTTACAAAACATAAAGTGTGCTGTGCTGAAATTAAGAATTCTCTAGGGTTTTCTGGTAACCCTCCCTTCCCATTATTTGATATTGACAATGGTTTCCTTTATATTTGTTGCCACAATGCAATCAGGAATCACACATCTATTTTCCATCTTTAAGGAGATTCACAGACTCAGAGCCTTCTGAAATGTTTTAAAACTACAGCCCTTATTATAAAGCTGTACTTAATATTCTTTACAAGTTTGTTTAGGTTAATAATACTATCATCGTATAAGCCAAATGAGAACTCACTCAGTAAAATAATCACTGAGTATTCCAGTGAATGCTCCAGAAGATAAGCAGAAAGGCCTGAAATTTCCTTTTAAAGGTGTAGTTATTCTTTTCAACTATCACATACTTTACAAAATAACCTTTTCTTTGTGAATCAGAACCACACTTCTGAACCTTTCTAAAACACAGCACTCTGGATTAAACAACAGACCTGCTCCTTTTGCCCATTCTCCATATTCTCCCCATTGCCCAGTTCTTGGCTAAAGCAATGAATGAGACGAATCTAAAAAGTGAGCTTTCCTGACAGTGGATAGGAAGCAGCAATCTCATGAATGTCAGTCTCTTGTCATCTCTGATATTGAAACTCTGAAAATGATCAAATTGCTCTATCCTCAGAGGATACAGTAGCTGGTTGGACATTTCTGACTCAGTTTCTCACAGCTTTCTCACACAATGGGAGATGTGATTCATTTCCTGGAAAGTACAAAGTCTTGTGTTACAGCAATAAATCTCTATGTGTGATGTCAATCCAGACGAAAATAATTTGGGGCAGTGCTGTGATAGTGAACATAGAAATCATCATGTTTTAATAAATTTCCACATATTCATCCAGTTGAAAAATCCTGCCTTGACTTCAGGTGTTTTTTCCCCTTCTCTCCCATCAACGTTATTTGGATTTTTATCTATGACTTCTTTTGTTTTTATGAGGGTCTCATATATTTCCTGAGCTCTGACAATTTCTTTCTGTGCATTAAAATGGACTTTCTGCCTGGTCAGGAGAGGAACAATTAAATTGAAATCATTAATTCGCTTATTTAATTTTCTGATGTCTTCTTGAAACTGCTCACAAATTTGGCTCCACTGTTTCTGTTCAGTTGGTGTCATTGGGTTCCCAAGTTTTTTCCTTGACACTAAAATTGCCTCCCTGAGTTGCTCAATAGTATCCTTTATTTCCTTCTGCATTAAGATCCATTCTGGCTGGTATCCATTATCTATCAATATTCTGTTCAAGTTGTGAGTCATGGGGTCAATATATGAACAGCCAGAGAACTTTTTTAGAGGTTTTCCTTTCCCACTGAGATTATCAAAGTCTCCTTTTGCCATAGATTCCTGAATGAGATCCTCCACTAAACGCTCTATTGCTTGCGTTATTTTTTGTTCTTTACTCTGCCTGACATCTTTAACAGTTAAACTATCAGCAAAATACTGTCTTTGTAGCTTCTGCTTTTGATATTCCATCACCTGTTCAGTTGCACGGTCTGCTCTAAATTGCCTATATTGCTTCTCTCGTTGACTTGGCGTTCCAAAACCAACACCCTCAAAACTCAAGTAATGCCGATGTTGAGGTGTTTTATATTTGAATTGTTCCTCTTCTTCTTCTGCTTCTTCAACTTTATTCTTTCTGGCATTTGTTTGTTCTGTCAAGTGGGAAAGTACCTTCCTATAAGCTTCTTCAATCCTTATAAATGTCGCAGAATCAGCAGTACTAGAGCCACCATCCGGATGATATTGCTTGGCAAGCTTATGGAAAGATTCCCTAACATCATCTGCAGAGCAGCCTTCTTCCAGATTCAGCAGCTTGTAGTATTCTCTAATCTTCTTTCTGGATTTATGAGTGGACATCATTCTATTTCTAATAACATCAAGACATGGAAACATTTTCATTTGATGAGGAATCATTGAAGCATTTATCAGGTGAGATCTTAAGATTTGAGCCATCATCACATACATTGAGTTCATTCTTGTACCCAGAGTTCTCCCTAACAATGATCTAGAAAATAACAATAAATACAAGGTGAACAAAATTGCCACATCAGTTAGTTTAATATTTTCAGCAGTAAGGAAGAAATTACAAGTGCAATAAGGGACAATAAGTAAAATAAGGGACAATCCTTTCAGGATTCTTTAAAAAAATTTTTTTTATTTATTTATGCATACAAGAGCTGGGGTGTAGGCCAGAGGTGCGTTAGGGGAGGTATGAGAGGACTCACCAGAGACAAAGTGGGGAGCAGAACAGGCAGACTGACTGAAATATACTGCTGAGGGAAGCAGTGGGTGAGTCAGGAGAGGTCTGCTGTGCCCTGTGGGTCCGCTCCCTGGCCGCCTGGGGATCAAACTCATGCTGCAGTGACTGAACCCCCTGAGGCCTCCTTCCAGGATTCTTATAGCTATATTTCACTTATATTAGCAGAGAAATGGAAGTTGATGATGATTAGCATTAACATATTGTGATATAATCTGAATTCTACTCCTCACTAACCACGGAATTTTAGAGTCAGCAAATTCTCAGTGATTATCCAACCCAATCTTCTTATGACAAAATGTAGGCCCACAAGGTTAAGCAACATTACCAAGTCACTGAGCCAGGGTAAGCAAAATGGTTAGGTGTAAGGCACAAAGAGACGCCTGCTTAACTGCCTGTATTCATTAGTATCGTGGTCTTCATCGCGTCAAGGAGTCTTCTCTTCAGAAGACTCACACGAAACAATGGAAGACGTGACAGAGTATGCAGGTAATCTGACACCAGGTTGAACAGACGAGTGTCCAAAAGACCTTACTTTACATAGCTCCTTGGGAAGGAGCTATTTGCTACCTGCTGGGAGAACCAAGAGCAAAGGTGAGGCCTCCAAAATGCTCGCTGTTACCTGAAAGCGCATGGTCTAGTGCAGAGGCAAGACCTGGCCGCAGGTAAGGGCACTGAAAGGATGCAAGTGTAACGTGGTAGAGGTGGCAGTGAACTCCCAGGGACCCCAATATTCTGGACAACGGGGGTCAACAGCTTTAGAGTGCGTTGGGACGGTGCGGGTGCCCACGGCGGCCGGTAGCGGGGAGCGGCCAGTCCCGACTCGGAACGCCCCGCCCCGCCCCCACTCACCTTCCGGGCTTGGGGAAGGGGCTCGCCGGCTCCCGCCCCCCGCCGCGCCTCTGCGCATGCGTGCGCTGCTTGCCCTTCACTCCCCAGGCGCCGGCCGGGCGAGACCATCTGCCATTTTCCAGTCAGAGGCCCTGGGGGGAAGGAGCTGCGGAGGGTGGTGTCGTGCCCAATCGGGAAGGTGTCCTACCTTCCCAGGAAGGCCAAGGAGCTCTCCTAAAGCGAGCTCTGCCAAGAGGACACAGGCAGGACGCCTCGGGATGCTCCCTCCTGCCCCCGGGGGGACAGGCTCCGCCTTCGCCCCCTCCTCGAGCGGAAGGTGGTTTGGTCGAGTGGAATTATGGGAAGTGTAGTTCGCGGGGCGCGGCGCGCGCCTGCGCCGTGGAGGGGCGCGCGGCCGTGCGGGTGGCTCTGGGGCCGGGGGCGGGATGTGCGGCTTGTTGCCGGGGCGGGGGGCGGCTTGTGACCTTTGAGGTCTTAGTGACTTGGAGGGCGACGGCCGGCCGTAGCTTGTTGTGGGGGGCAGGGAAAGACGGAGCCATCTCTCCCAGCAGGACCCGGACAACCTCTCCCGGGGCTGTCCGGGGACGCCTGGCCGGCGGGAGAGGCCGCGCTCCCCGGCGGGGCCTGGTTTCCCCCCGGTGCAGCCAACACTGGGCTCCAGAGCCGGGCGTCGGGCGGGGAGGGTAGCTGAGGACTAGATCGGGACAGGGGATCCCCTGGCTGTACGTTCAAGCGCAGGAATATATCCTTTCCCCGCCCTTTACAGGGAGGTCATTTAAAAAAAATAAAATTAAAAAGAGAGAAAAAAGGCAGAAACTTGGGGAGTCTCATCTGTGTTGAAAAATCCTGTTTCTCCAGCTTGTTTTGTGCCTCAGACAAGCTACGTCTCTGCGTCTGTTTATCTGTAAAATGAGGTTCCAATAAGTGGTAAGCAGGTACTTGGTGTTTAAACTTTTGTTTTTTGGGGCCATGTGTTGTGCTAAGTACTTTCTATCCTTAGCCTTTTCAACGATCCTATGAGAGAAGTGCTGTTGTTTCCCCTATATTACGTATGATGAAACAGTTGCATCAAAAGTTTTTGTGAGAATTGCACAATGTATGTTAACCACCTGGCACGGTGCCTGGCACATGAAGGGTTGTTTTTGTTATGACTGTATCTTATCTTGTTTAAAAAAACACAACAGAAATAGGTAGGAGCGGTTCTAAGTTTCTGAGTTATAAATTTGTTACTTTAAGTGTAACAGCACAGAAAAATGTTTAAATTCTGATCCAGAGGGATTTCCCTTGTGGAACCTTTTTTGAGCCAAAGATACACCTTCTTGTCTCTAATTGGCCCTGTTGAGACTTCTGGGTGAAATATAAGCAGTCTGACTGAGCTCCCTATCTTCTTATCTGCAGCCACAGAAGAACACCAGTTCCGCTGCTTGATCCTGTAAATCTCTCCTGTGTTCCGACCCTAGTGGAACACACCTTGGACCGGCGCTTGGTTGTGGACCCAGGTCATGTTTCCTATTTCTGAATAAATGCCCTCTGTACTATGTATAATCTGATTATTTCCAAGTGGACATAAGTGGACTGGTTTTCATGGAAAGTACCTTGCCTCAATGTCTGCGACATCGCCTAGTTTGATGCGCCAAGCAGTGAACATAAAAGAACTCTGTGAAAGAGAACAGTGTTGTCACAAGTGTTAACTCTTCTAGCCAGCATTTTATACATAACTTCATGGGGGGAGGGGCATAAACACAGTTTTTAAAAACTACTCTTATAACACTTTGCATTTTACAAATCACTCATCACAAATCTCATTTTTGATGTTGGCATCATACAAATGATAAGGTTTTAGCTGTGAGTAGTTACGTGACTTGGTTAAGTTGGTAAATGGCAAAGGTAGGGCTAGAACTGTAAATCTACTTCTCTTTTCAGAGTTTCAGTTTTACAGTGATATTCTGGGCATATAAAGGGTGAATTGAAGTCAGCTGAGATTCCCCATAACACGTTTACCTGCAGAGTGTAATCTAGCAAGCCAGCTTGTTCTTCTCATGTATGCAAAGGAGGCAGTTTCTGACATTGGTTCAGCTACCAAGGATTGTCATATTTTAATTTACCATTCTCATTCTCTTTTCCTCATATACCTTTTTTCCTGAATCCTATAAAAATTATTGCGTCCCTTGCATCCTTTGACCTCAAAGTACTTCAGTATTTTCTTCCTCAAAATAAGGACATTTTCTTTTTAAAAAAAATTTTTTTTTCTTTTTTTTTTGTGACTATAACTTTATTTATTTTTTTAATAAATTTTATTTTTATATTCCCCATACAATTGCAACCCCCCCATTCTGATCCCAATCCCTCCCCTCCCGCCCCCCACCCCTAAAAAAATTTTTTTTTAAAGATTTATTTATGTATGCATTCAAGAGCTGAGGTACAGGCCAGAGATGCAGGGGGTAAGAGGATTCACCAGAGACAGAGTGGGGAACAGAACAGGCAAACTGACTGAAATACACTGCTGAGGGGAGCAGCGGGCAAGACAGGAGAGGTCTGCCTTGCCATGTGGGTTTCTCCCTGGCCAGCCGGGGATCGAACTCATGATGCAGAGGCTGCGGGTTGTTTCATAGTGCAGTGCTTAACCCCTTGTGCCACCAGGGAGGCCGGTCAGCACCATAGTTTCTTCTTGCTACTTTATGGTCTTGGCAAGATAAATTGTTTCTGCCACCCTTCTGTAAGTTATCCAGCCAGAGTTGAGTGTGACAGGATACGAGATGCATCTTTGGCATCAAAGTTCACACATCAACAAAAACAAAGTGCTAGTAACTACACCTCTATGCCAGTGTCCATAATCTGTGTGGAAAACCTATCCTCAATACCATGCCCCTCTTTACCCAGTTATTTCCTACTTATCCTTCAAGTTGTTGTGCAGGTCACTTCCTCCAGGAAGCCTCCCCTGACTGCCTGCCCTAGGCTAGGTATGGTAACCTTACCTAAACCTCCCATAGAGCACTGCTATTTCTTATCACACATCACATTATACTAAAATAGCACATTTATTTGCCTGTTTCCTTCTAGATGATTAGCTCTGAAAGTGCAGTGGTGGTGTCTTATTTTTCTTCATTTCCTTAGCTCGTAACATAATGTTGCACAAATAGGTGCTTGATCAATGTGTGATGAACTGATTGAATCAATAGTCTTTCTTTGGGAAAGAACAGAGACGGTAAGGTAGACTGGCTTGTTTAGTGTGATTATTTAATTAATTAAACTCCATAGACCTTAAATAATGTTTTCAGTTTTCAGTACAATATGGTTAACCACCTTAAGCATATGTGATGATTAAAATCAACATATTTGGGGGCCTACCTGGTGGCACAAGGGGTTAAGATGCAGACTATTATACGCAGCCACTGAAACATGAGTTTGATGCCCAGCCAGGGAGGTGACCCACATGGCATAGCAGATCTCTCCTGACTCATCCGCTGCTCCCCTCAACAGTGGGACTTGGCAAGATAAATTGTTTCTGCCACCCTTCTGTAAGTTATCCAGCCAGAGTTGAGTGTGACAGGATACAGAGATGCATCTTTAGCCTCAAAGTTCACATATCAACAAAAACAAAGTACACTGTACTGCTCCCCACTCTGTCTCTGGTGAATCCTCTCATCCCCTGCACAGGGGGTGAATCCTCTCATCCCCTGCACCCCAGTTCTTATATACATAAATAAATAAATCTTAAAAAAATAAAAAATAAAACCAACATGTTTGAACCTTGATATATCATTTTCCATAAAATCTAATTATGACCTAAGGCTTATTGGCTGGGATGCCGTATAATCTTACACATAGGACTGGTTTTAAATGAAAGTATGTTGGATGGATGTCTCCTGGTTTAGAACATCTTTTTCATGATTCTCTGTTATGCAAGACAGTGGAGCACTTTGAAACAGATTTCCCCATAAGGAGGAGAGTAGACGGTTCACAAGAATTTCATTAGCACACTAAAATCTAATGATTAATTGTGCTACTGAATAGGTGAAAAATAGATAAACAATATTTTTAAAAGTTGCTAATAAACAAATTCCCATACTTTATAGATATATTAAATATTTACTGAGTGACTGCAAGAAAAGCTTGGCCAAAGCAATCTCTTTTCTCTGTGCATTTTCAGATGAAATTTCACACTTTTGCAAAAGCAAGTGAGTACTCTGTTTTAATCCATCTGCGGGCTTTTTCTTTGCTATTTGTGACAACTGCAGGGAAGTTGATTTATTTCCAATAACTTGTGGTGCCATAGTAACTAAAATCACACTTCTCTGAAAAGGATTTAGTTTAATCTGCATCCTAAAACCACATGGTTCAATGATGTTTGCAAATGGTATTTTCTGAAGCTAAATTCCTAGAACTACCCTGAATATGCTTTCTCTTCTTGGCTCTATCTCCATTTGTCACTATATTTTGTCAAGGAAGAATTTATACAGGGAATGTTGACCTTAAAGGAAAGAGAGAAATTAATAGTACAAAACTACTCTGAAATCTTAGGGGTGGGGAGCTGGGACAGGTAGCATGGAAAAGAGAAGATTCACACTCATTTGGATATTTTTCCCTTTTCTCTATTCCCAGTTGGGATGATGAGTTATTTTTTATTTTTAAGATTTGTTTATGTATGCATGCAAGAACTGGGTACAGGCCAGAGGTATGTGGGGATGAGAGGATTCACCAGAGACAGAGTGGGGAACAGAACAGGTGGATTGACTGAAATACACTGCTGAGGGGAGCAGTGGGAGAGATCTTTCCTGTCTCGCCCGCTGCTCCCCTCAGCAGTGGATTTCAGTAGATCCGCCTATTCTGTTCTCTACTCTGTCTCTGGTGAATCCTCTCACCCCCCCATACCTCTGGCCTGTACCCCAGTTCTTGTATGCATACATAAATAAATCTTTTAAAAAAAAAACAAGGGCCTCCCCGGTGGCGCAGCGGTTGAGCGCTGGGTTGC